TCACATCCTTGAAAACCCTACAGAGCGAAGTTCTACTCTGACACACGTTGGGTCACTATGAGTCAGAATCGACTCAACGGCAGTTGGTACTGGTAGTGGTATACCTGTGGATGTAATCCCATTTGGAAATAGGGTTTTCTTTGCTATGTTAATGAGGCCATATCCATGTAGGGTGTGTTTTAAACCCAATCACTTTTCAGATATAAAAAGAGCAGGTTAGGCACAGACACAAATGTGTACTGGGGAAGACAGAGCACATGTGAGGATCGCCAAAGAACCGAGGAACACCAGAGTTACACAAGCTGAAACAAGGATCTTCCCAAGAGCCAACAGAGGGAGAGCCTTTCCCTAGAGCCAGCGCCCTGAATTCAGACTTCTAGCCTTCTAAACTGTGAGAAAATACATTTATGTTCTTTAAAGCCACCCATTTGTGGTATTTCTGTTGTTGTTAGTGGCAGTCGAATCAATTCCAGGTCACGGTGACCCCACGTACGTAGAGTAGAACTGTGCTCCATAGGGTTTTCAGAAGCAGATTGCCAGGCCTGTCTTCCAAGCCACCTCTGGGTGGGTTCAAACCACCAAACTTTCAGCTAGTAGTCAAGTACTTCACGGTTTGCACCACCCAGCATCTCCGGTACTTCTGTTACAGCAGCCTTAAGAAACTAAGACACCACCTTATGTTGCTCAACTCCCAATCCACACACTCCAGGGCCAGGTGGGGCTGGCAGAAGGTCCCCTCTGGACAGAGACAGTGACTAAGCCCAGGAGAGCTGGGGATCAGCCAGCTCACCTCGATGTTGATGAAGATGATCTCAATGTCCTCAGGCTTGAGGAACCTCTGCAGGGGCTTCATGAAGTGCTGCAGGGAGGAGAAGAAGGATGAGGGAAGGGGTGATCCACTCCCTCCAGCCCAGCCCCAGGGGACAGGGACAAGGAAACACAGACAGAAAAGAGAGACAGAGATAAAGAGAGACAATGTGGGGAGAGAAAGCAAAAGACGGAGCAGAAAACAAAGACAGAGGAAGAGACAGAGAAATAAAGAAAAACCGAGAATGTCCGCACAAAAACTTGTATATGAATGTTCATCGCCGTAGTACTCACAATAGCCAAAAAGTGTAAACAACCCAACGGCCCACCAACAGGTGAATGGATAAACAAAATGTGGTACATACAAACAGCGGACTATTACTCAGCCATAAAAAAGGAGTGAAGCACCGATACATGCTATGACATGGATGAACCTTGAAAATATTATGCTAAGTGAAAGAAGTCAGACACAAAAGGATAAATATTGTATGATTCCATTTACAGGAAATGTCCATAATAGGCAAATCCATAGAGATAGGAAGTAGATTAGTGGTTGCCTAGGGGTTGGGAGGAAGGGGAAATGGGGAGTTGCTGCTAATGAGTATGGGATTTCTTTTAGGGATGATGATAATATTCTGGAATTAGATAGTGGTGATGGTTTCCCCATGACCTTGTGAATATACCAAAACACCCACTGAATTGTACACTTTAAGTAGGTGAATTGTATGATATGTGAATTATATTTCAATAATGCTGTTGAAATGCAAGCCCTCGTGATGCAAGGGTTAAGCGCTCCACCGCTAACCGAAAGGTTAGAGGTTCAAACCCACCCAGCGGCTCCATGGAAGAAAGACCTAGAGATCTGATCCTGTAAATATTGTTCTTGTTGTGTGCCACAGAATCGATCCTGACTCATAGCAACCCTATAGAACAGAGTAGAACTGCCCCATAGGGTTTCCTAGGCTGAAATCTTTACCAGAGCAGATTTCCAGGTCTTTTCTCCCACAGAGCTGCTGGTGGATTCGAACTGTCGACCTCTCGGTTAGCAGCCAGGCGCTTAACCGTTGCACCACCGGGGCTCGTTCCCATAAAGATTACAGCCTAACAAACCCTATGGGGCAGTTCTACTCTGTCACATGGGGTCTCTATGAGTCAGAATCAACCGATGGCGCCTAACAACACAACAACAAAGCTGTTAAACAGAGAGACGGGAGAGGAAAGAGATAACAGAGGAGACAATAATAGACTGACAGACAGACAGACAGAGCTGAGGGTACAGGAAAAGACAGAGACAAGGATAAAGAGACACACGGAGAGAAAGACAAACCGAGGAAGAAACAGGAAGAGACCCGAGGGAAAGCAGACAGACAGACAGACAAGGAGACAGAAATAAAGTCACAGGACAGAAGACAGAGAGACCCAGAGATCCAAAGCAATGGAGACAGGCGGGGCCTCTCAGCGTGCCCAGGGCAGACAGACGGAGACAGCCGTAGGGGTCCCACGCATGCGCGACGGGGCTGGTGCGTCCCGCACCTGCTGGATGGAGCCCAGCGTGTCGGTATACTTCTCCTCCGTCTGCTGGATCTCGCGCAGGCAGCAGCAGCGCTTGTCGTACTCTGTCATCTTGGGCTGAGGGCAGGACAGGCCGATGATGGAGGTCCTGGGCCGCCCCCCCCGCCCCACACCCGCCCACCCGGCCCGCCACCCTCCGCACCGGCATGGCCACCGGCTCTGTGCGCATGAGGTCCTCGTAGATCTCGTCACCCTCAGCCTCCTCGTTCTCCACACAGTCGTACAGGTCCTCATCCTCCTCCACCGTGTCGCTGCGGGGCACTGAGTCAGGCGGGCCGCGGACCCCCAGCCAGGGTCCCCTCAGAGCCCCCAAGATCAGGGTTGTGTCCCCCTCAGACCCCCAGGGCGGGACTATATCCCCTCAGACCCCTGGAGCAGGGTCGGGTCCCCCTCAGACCCGCAGGGCAGGGCCTGTCTGTCTCCCCCCTCAGACCCACAGGACAGGTGCTTCTCAGGTCCTGCTCCTGTCAGCCCCGACACTCACTCGATCTGGTCAGACAGGCCACTGTAGATGTCTTCATCGCCCACAATCTCCTCCTCCGTGGGGAAGGGCCTAGGGGGCCAGCAGGGGGTGAGCCAGCAGCCAGGGAGCCGGGTGGGAGTGGGGCATCATGGAGTGGGAGGGCCGGGCGGAATCGGCTTAGATGGGTACTCACATGATGCCCTTGTTCTGGGCAATCGGGGTCCAGGACAGAGCGGACAGGGTACAGACGACCTATGAGAGTGACAGAACACAGACCCTGAGGTAGACCCCAGGCTTCCCACAGCCTAACTGGGGATTTTCTCCTCTTTCCCATCCCCCATGTCAGCTCCCCTTTAACTGAGCCCCTACCACTTGCTCCCACTGTTCCACTGACTCCTCACAACCACTAGGAGGCAGGCGGGGTGCTGAGGGACCTGGGGCTCAGAGAGACACGGCCACATGGCTGAGGTCATGCAGCCAGTGGAGGAGCAGGGACTCAGCCCTGGTCTGGCTCGTCTTCCTCCCTGCCACAGCCCGCAGCTAGCCCAGTGCAGACTTTAATGGAAATGAATTGAAATCCAATCATCTGGGCTTTCTGTGCCTAGCTCACGGGGGGGCCCACCTTCCCGAAATCCTGCACATCGAAGAGGTCAAAGGCCTCGAAGAGCTCGCTCCGCTTGAGGCCAAACTTCTCGCAGCAAGTGGACAAGAAGGTGCGGATATTCTTAAGGCACAGGAACTGTGGAGAGAGAGAAATGAGGTTGAGTTGGGACACGAAGGGACATGGGAGAAACAGACTCCAAGCCTGGCTTGGGGATTGGCAGGGAAGGGGAAAAAGAAGGCACAACCCTCCTCCCAGGAAACCACACCCACTTCTGGCAAAGATCAAGCTGTACCTGAAGCTGTTTCTACCCCTGAATTTTTTTTTTTTTTTTAATTATTGAGATAAAATTCACATAGCGTAAAATTAACTGCTAACCATTTTAAGAGCATCCGTGAATGGCATAAACAATTAAGCACTCAGCCACTATCTGAAAGGTCACTGGTTCAAACCCATCCAGTGGCTCCAAAGGAGAAAGACCTGGTAAACGGCTCCTGAAAGATTACAGCCTAGGAAACTCTATGGGGCAGTTCTACTCTGTCCTAGAGGGTCGCTATGAGTCAGAATAGACTCTGTGGCAACTAGTTAGGAGTCCCTAGGTGATACAAACAGTGAAAGCACTCAGCTGCTAACTGAAAGATTGGAGACTCGAGTCCACCCACAGGCACCTCAGAAGAAAGTCCTGGTGATCTACTTCCGAAAAATCAGCCTTTGAAAACCATATGGAGCTCAGTTCTACTCTGACACACGTGGGGTCGCCATGAGTCAGGATCCACTCGACAGCAGCTGGTTCGGTTTGGGGTTTTTTAACCATTTTAAAGTGTACAGTTCAGTGGTATTTACTACATTTACAGTGTTGTGCATCCATCACTTCTGTCCAGTTTCAAGATACTTTCATCACCCTAACAAGAAGCCCATACTTGTTAGCAAGCGCTCCCCATTCTCCCCACTCCCCACCCCCAGCAACCACTGATCTGCTTTGTGTCTCCATGGATTTGCCTATGTCCGTCAACTGATGAATGAATAAACAAAATGTAGTACACTGGAGTATTATTGTAAAGAATACTTTGCACAAAAAAAGAAATGAAGTTCTGATACATCCTCCAACCTGGATGACCTTGGAAAGCATTATGCTAAGTGAAATTAGCCACAAATGGACAATGTTGTATGATCCTACATATATGAAGTATCTAGAATTGGCAAATGCATAGAGACCAAGGTTTATTAGCGGTTACCAGGGCCAGGTGGGAGGGGGGAAAGGGGAAGTCATTGCTTGGGGGACACTGAGCTTCTGTTAAGGGTGATAGAAACATTTGGGACAGATAGT